AGCTGCTGAGTTATACATAATTAATCCCAATCCATTAACGCACCAGCACGCCCACACCTCTGCTCCAGGGGCAGCTCCTTTGAAACAGCCAGGCCTGAGGTGGTGCAGACTGCACCTGGGGGTGGCCAAAGGTACAGTGAACTTGCTTCATGCTCACTGCAGTTGTTCCTAAAAAAAAAAGAGAGCAAGGAAGTTTCCGTTGCAAAACCAAAGAACTATGCTGATCTAGTCACTATCATGAGCATTCACATCTGTGCTGCTCAGTCTTTATTGTGCTGCTACAAAAAGGCAATTAAGAAAGTGTCTGGATTCCTAGGACATTTGCAGGTTTCCATGGCATATAAGAGTATTTAATTTGTAGTAGGTTAGAGAAAGGATTTTTTGAAAGAATGGAGGGGGAGAAAATGAGTTATCTGGGAAGCAAATAAAATCTGGCAGGAAAATTTCACTCTGTTGGAAAATTTGGAATGCTGTTACTGTGTCAGAGAAGAAAAAAAAGCTGTTTACATCAAAGAACCAAGGAGGCTGCTCCACGGGAATCCTGAAGCAAAACAAAAGGCAGACATCTAGTAAAGAGGACTAGCTTAGACATATGATCAGCTCATTCATGTGCTTCCTTAAAGCACAGATCACTTCTGAAAATTGACAGTAGAAATAATTCAGCCTTACTTGGCAAATTTACTTCCCAGGATAATCTGGGCAGAATCCCTGTCAACAAAATCCAAGATAAAGCTTTAATTGCATTTCACTCTGCAAAATGAATGCAACAAAACGTGAGTCATCCTTGCAATGTCTTCCATCCTGTGCCTTACCTGGGTCCCATGTCTTTGCCTCTCCTGCCATCTCTTTCTAAACTTTTCCAGGAGAAGGTAAGCAGTGGGGAAAAAGGTCAGTCTGCAACACTGGATGTTATTTCTAGTGTAAGACTGATTATATTTAGTATGGAGATTACTGAGTGTCAGTAAATATAGACACAAGTATGGCATTTTAAAGGCTTGTTACTGGCAGAAGTAAAATTTTGGAAGTATCTTTTCACTAACTTGAGTGTACAAGTATGATAGAAAGTGGACACAAAATGTGTCAGACAAAGAGTTCTGTGTTTTCGTAGTGTTGGCTTAGCCTTACAATGCCAGTACTGCATATACAATGTTCTCAGCTGTTACTTTTTACCCGTTTTAGTTCTTGTGACCTATATATGAAAGCTGTCTTAATAAAGAAGGAAGCTTTATTTAGTTATTTTTTTCTCCTCCATCAGCAAACTACTCAAGAAAAAACCCACCATGATTCTGCATTATGGAACATAACTTTTTATTACTATAAACCTGTACTGTAATGAATGTTAGGCCCATTTCTGATTTCATGTTAATCAAGAGCAAGTTAGGAATTCAGGGAAGTTACATCTGTGCAAGACTGACATAAATGAGAGAATGATCAGCCTCTCTGCCCTAATTTTTCCTGACAAGGCCACAAAATGAAGGCCCCCGTAGTATGAATTGAGCTGTCCAAATAAATGTAGTTTGATTTTTCCGAAGTGCCAGACCTTTGCAGATGGCACTGAATTCATGCAGAGAGGACCTCTATAAATCAGACTGCTTTTGTTTAGATTGCTAAATGAAGACTGTCGATCTTGGGATTAGGAAATGAGTGCTGCATATTCTGACCCGAGACATAAATGGATTTTCCAACCTGATAGAACAAATGGCAAAACCCTGGAAGAAATTAAGCTCCGTGGAAAACTCTGGTGTCAATGTGATTTACTTATTCCAAGCAAAAATTGTAAGTTTTCTGGATTTGCATTTATCTGCAGTTGTGTTTGACAAATTTTGTTTGTATTAAATCTGTGTTTCAATTTAATTCATATTTGTGATCTAGGTACCAACAGAATAACTTATTTTAAAATACTTCAATGAAAACAACATATAATTCTTAGTAAGATTGAAAACTTCTTAATTTTACCTCTACTAGATGAATAGGTAATTGGTAGTGCCATTCCAAGTTGCTATGTGTATCCACTTGAAGGACTAGATTACTGTGGTACGCATGAACCATGTTTCACACCAGGAGACATTTCATTGTGAGGTGGTTTCCATCGTTACCAAGCAACAAAAAAACTCTCTGCTCATTCCGTGGCTCTGTTCTTTTTGTAGCATATTTGATAAATCTCTTTTCAGGAAAGAATTCACTACTTAAACCACTGCCTTGCTCTTTATGGTTTCTATGTACTGATCTTCTGGAGGATGACCTCTAGTTTTACTGCAGTTTGTTGGCTAGGACTTCAGAAACTTGGAGAAACAGGAGCAAGTGGAGTCTTTTAAGTTTAGTGCCACATAAGGACGATAGAAGAAAATGACCGTGGTTTCCCATGGAGCTGAAAGGCAGGCAAGTGCCTTTAAAAAGTCCATCTTGTCAGTTGAACCAGTTCACAAGATGGATCGCCAACAGTGTCGAAGTCTGTTAAAGAAGATGCACATGCCTGTTGTGAGAGGACCTGAGAACAGACATGGCTTTGCCAGCTTTGAAGAGAAAAACAGTAATTCTCTCTTTAAATTCAATCCATTCACCTCTCCAGTAAAGCCGAATTACTCTTTATTCCCACAGTGGGATGTTGTGCCTTTTGTGGATCCCTGCTCAGGTTTTGTGAGTCCAGGAGCAGATGCTTACCTGCAGCCCGATGTTGAATTCCTGGTGGACTACAGTGATTGGAAACCTCACCAGCAGGTCCCCATCACAGGGAAGAGAGGCCATTCTGCCCACAGGAGGCAGATGATCCTCCTGGAGGAAACCAGCCAGGACAGAAGGTGGAACTCCAGGGCTGTGTCAGCTGCTTCTGTCAGGGCACGACTCAGAGGTAAAGCAAACTACTATTTTTATTTCTTTATCACCAAAGAAATTGGTGATGCTTAACAAATAAATACAATTAGTTTCTGAACTCCATCCCCCAATATTTGATATTTGAACTGAATATAACAACTGCAGTAGAGTGTTTGTATGATTCATTACTCCTGCTGTAGCAAAGAGGTACCAGTCAGCAAATTCTAATGAGCATTCTAATGCTAAAAAAAAAACCTCTGAAGGTAAACAGTGTTTTAAAACATCTATTTAGCTAAATTGTGATGTTATATACAGGTCCTAATGAGCACCTGTTTTAATGTAAACCAAAATAACAAATCACCCCAGAGTCGGGAAATCCCCTGGATATTTCTGTGTCTTTTCCTGACAAATTGCAGTGCAGTGCATTTAAAGATCTATTCCAGTGTCTAGCTGATCAGAGAACAGAAGTTGTTTAGGACTGCCATCACATGTTGGTCAAAGTACATACTACCCTCTTATTTTATATCGATGTGTTACACATAAAGTTGGGTGTGATAATTTCGTATTGATTACAGCATCAGAATGGAAATTCACTATTTTTAACTTGAAGCAAAATTGGGTTGGTGGTTAATATTCAGAATTTTCTGATGAAAATTCTGGAAAGCAGAAATATCTACCCAGGGCTTCTAAAGGCAGACATAATTAGCAGTAAGCAATATGGTTGAATTTTTATAAAGATTAAGCCAATTCCAATGATTTTCATAGAGAAATGCTCATTACAGCTAGAACAAAATTTTATGAGAACTCAGGCAGTTTGCCCATAGATGGGGCGAGGCATTTCTTGGAACATGACAAAGAAATGTAAATAAGCTCCTTATTCCACTTGACTGTACAGAGATAACACTCTCACTTCACAGTTAGCTATACTTTAACCATGTTATTGTCACCATAAAGTCTCTACGTGCTATACATTCAGGCAGTGCTTTTGGTTCCTTGTTTCTGTCTTCGAACTTTGCATCTTAAATCACTTTAAGCTTACTGCAGTCATATAACAGAACCCAAAAGAACCCAAGAAACCACAAGGGATAAAAAAATATACTCCATAATTTTCCTTTTTTTTTTCTCGCTCATCCCATTATAATTTTCACTCTTATTTCTCAGTTACTGTGTTCTCCATTTACATATGAAATTAGACCTCAGATACCAGCCAGAACTGATGTCTTTTTTCTGAAAGCCTCTGGAAAAGTAAAGGGGAAAGAAGATTTGAGATATGCAATTCTATCTGACCATTAATTTTTCCAACGCAGAGAAAAGCGGACAGAGACAGAGAGAGAGATACTCTGGCAGATAGAGACACACCTGAAATGAACACAGGCAAAATCTGAAACTGAATGTCATCGAGCCCTATTCCTACTAATTTTAAAATATAAGAGGTCAAAAACAGTGCACAGTTTTCGAACAGTGAGGTGCAGTGAAGCTTGTGAGGCTGCTGGTTTTGTGAAACCTCTCTGCATATGTCTTTATGTGGTGATATAAAAATCTCACTTTTTCCTTTAAAAACAAAACAAAAAGATGTTCTGGCTTTCATGGTTTCTGGGAAACAGCTTATAAATGTGAATGAGTACCTCTTCAGTTTCTGAGTCAGAATGCAAACCAGAAATTCCCCAAATTCATTATCTGTCATTGAATCCTGTTTTGTCAGATTAGGGGATTAGTTTAAGTGATAAAATGAAACTGACAGTATTATTAAGCTTGTCATTAGTTAAAAGTGACAAAGCCAAGAAACTGAGTTCCCAACTTGGACAAGAACAGATCATGCCATTTTCAATCCTGTGGACTGAGCAAATCATTAGGGGCATTGAAACCTGAGAAAGTTGACTTCAGGAAAAAAATATTGCCATTTTTATGCTAGATCTTTCCACTGAAAGCAAAAAGAGAAGTAAATGTTAGAAGATTAATCATCCCAGCAGTGGGCCAGTCGTGTCAAGATGGCGAATTACAGTGTACAGTGCAAAAGCAGAGGTCTCTAGAAATGCATACATACAATTATCAAAGCAAATGTAAAATTATATACACATCCTCCTAAAGCTGTTGTAGCTGACATGAGTGTTTTACACATACAACAAAAGGAATAACAATTGTAACCTTTAGCTATTTAATCAATGAACCAGAGGAAGACTATTTGTATGGAACTACTAGGACATATGGGTGGATATATTTGAGCCATCTACCTCTTTATTGTAGAGGGCACTAGTTCATTCATACATATTAAGTAATTACAACATTTCAGACATAAAACTTAGTGGAAGCATTTCCGTATGAGTACAAGTTGTGTATTTGCAGATAGCATGTAAAGTTTACACAAAGCTGAGGCAATGAAGATGCAGCCACCATCTTTACTGCAAGCATGTTACCTGTTTAAGAGACACTTTCCAGAATAATTGTTTTAATTGGAGAGTCATTCAGTTTGAAAGCTCTTCACAGTGCAAAGATCCACAAATTCTGTCAAGATTTTGTGTTTCATCTTTCATGTAATTTAATGTATTTTTGTGGAAGTTTGTAATTCAGAGTGGTAACAGATAACTGAACATTGGTGTGTCGATTTTTATGAGACACCATGAGTTGTCTTCATCCAGTTTAAAACAATAAGGATTGCTGCAAATTGATTAACACAATAGGACAACCTTTCTTTCAGGTTGGAGAACTCCGGTGAAAGTTGCTCCTGCTCTATTTGACCAAAACCATATTTTTGCATTTTGTATGGATCCCAGTCTCAAGGCAAGTGTCTGGTGCTCTTCTTGTAATGACAGAAAACATATTTAAATCATTTTGTTTCTAGTCTGCTTTCCATTTAACGTGCTTTTGGCAGTGATTACAGTAGTGTAGTGAAATTGGACTTTTTAATTTCTTCATCTAATTGTATTGAAATAAGGGCTATATTTCAGGTAGCTGTATGTTAGCATGACCAGATTTTAATGGTGGCCATTACTCCAATAATTTTCATTTTTTGTACTGTTACTCTGGTTAAGGGATTTAGACTGTAATGTGAGACTGATACGAACAATGTCAGTTATGTGTAACTGGAGACAGAGTTAGAGCAAAAATACCAGAATGTAAAAAAGCTGCCAAAACTTCATACTTGATATAAATACTCATGTATTTTATACTTAGGCACTGCCTTATTTGATGCAAGTCACAAACAAATGAGTAAATCAAAATACATCAATGATTCCATAGCGCAAGACTAATTAAGTCTTTCCCGTACTGAAAATGTAATGGCATCCTTCATCCTTCTACACTGATGAGACTATTCATAGTCCTTAAAGCGTTGCACATGCTTAAATAGTTAGAATGGAATGGAACAGAACGGAACGGAATGGAACGGAATGGAATAGAATAGAATAGAATAGAATAGACTAGACTAGACTAGACTAGACTATTTAAGTTGGAAGGGACCTACAATGACCATCTAGTCCAACTGCCTGACCAATACAGGGCTGACCAAAAGTTGAAGCATGTTATTAAGGGCATTGTCCAAATGCCTCTTAAACACTGACAGGCTTGGGGCATCGACCACCTCCCTAGGAAGCCTGTTCCAGTGTTTGACCACCCTCTCGGTAAAGAAATGCTTCCTAATGTCACTAGACTAGACTAGACTAGACTAGACTATTTCCGTTGGAAGGGACCTACAATGATCATCTAGTCCAATTGCATGACCACTTCAGGGCTGACCAAGTTAAAGCATGTTGTTAAGGGCATTGTCCAAATGCCTCTTAAACACTGACAGGCTTGGGGCATCGACCACCTCTCTAGGAAGCCTGTTCCAGTTTTTGACCACCCTCTCGGTAAAGAAATGCTTCCTAATGTCCAGTCTGAATCTCCCCTGGTGCAGCTTTGAACCGTTCCCATGTGTCCTGTCCCTGGATCCCAGGGAAAAGAGATCAGCACCTCCCTCTCCACTTCCACTTCTCAGGAAGCTGTAGAGAGCAATGAGGTCGCCCCTCAGCCTCCTTTTCTCCAAACTAGACAAGCCCAAAGTCCTTAGCCTCAACTCACAGGACATGCCTTCCAGCCCTTTCACCAGCTTTGTTGCCCTGCTCTGGACGCATTCAAGGACCCCCTTCTTATATTGTGGGGCCCAGAACTGCACACAGTACTCAAGATGAGGCCACACCAATGCTGAATACAGCGGGAAGATCACCTCTTTTGACCGGCTGGTTATTCTGTGTTTGATGCACCCCAGGATGTGGTTTGCCCTCTTGGCTGCCAGGGCACGCTGCTGACTCATATTGAGCCTGCTGTGGACCAGCATCCCCAAATCCCTTTCTGCAGGGCTGCTCTCCAGCCACTCCTCTCCCAGTTTATACTTGTGCCCAGCATTATTCTGTCCTAGCTGCAGAATCTGGCATTTTGACTTGTTAAATTTCATCCCATTAATCATAGCCCAATGCTCCAATCTATCTAGATCCCTCTGCAAGGCCTCCTGTCCCTCAAGAGAGTCAACAGCACCTCCCAGTTTGGTATCATCAGCAAACTTGCTAATGGTGCATTCAACTCCTAAATCCAGATCTTTGATAAATATATTGAACAGAACTGGCCCTAGAATTGAACCCTGAGGAACACAATTTGTAGCACTGAACATTGTACAAATATATCAGGCATATGTGAGAGACTGCGAAGTGCATTTGCTATGCCATTTTATAAATAATATAACAAATGGAAAGCTACATTCCTGAGGAGTAGAGAGGCAAGGACATTCTATTAGTTTCCAAACTTGTATTCACTATATAATTAGAAAGGCAAAAGCCCAGCTAGAACTCAATCTGGCCACTGTCATAAGAGACAACAAAAAATGTTTTTACAAATATATTAATGACAAGAAGAGACCCAAGGAGAATCTCCATCCTTTATTGGATGCCGGGGGGGACATTGCCACCGAGGACGAGGAAAAGGCTGAGGTACTTAATGCCTTCTTTGCCTTGTCTTCAATAGTCAGATCAGTTATCTTCAGGGTATTCAGCCCCCTG